TGAGCGTGATCGGCTTCAAACTGAGCTAACATGTTCAAGAACAGAGACAGTCTTTAGTAGCATTTAATCTCTCCATTATCCATCCATCCATTTTCTATAGCCGCTTGTCCACGTGGGCGGCTGGTGCTCAGCAGTCTTCAGTCAAGCAGACGGGGTGCACTGAGGACAGGTTGCCAGTCCATTGCAGGGCAACACACACACACACACACACACACACACACACACACACACACACACACACACACACAATAATACTATTTACAGAGACCAATCAACCTGACAGTCATGTTTTTGGACGGTGGGAGGTAGCCGGAGTACCCGATGAGAACCCACGCGTGCACAGGGAGAACATGCAAACTCCTTGCAGAGAGACCCAGGCCAGGATGTAATTCCAGGACCTCCTTGCTGCAAGGCAACAGTGCTAACCACATTTTTTAATGGGCACAATGTTATTACTGTATATATTGTTTGGTTTATCGACTTCTAAAAGACCATCTTGCAGTTTGATTGAGGAAAAAATCATAACCGCAGTTATATTGATCAGTATTAGTGATCGATTATCCCAATACAGCTTGTCAGAACAAGAGCATAGTTACTACATCTAACACACACTGAAAGTGTACACATCTCTGACCAGCCTTTGGTCATAGTGCTCTGCTGTATGTTGCTTGTATCTTACAGATTTTCCTCAATTTTCTAGTTGTATATTTTGAATGAAAACCTTTAGAAATATAAACTTCGCTAACTTGCCTTGAAAGCACAAGTTTTTTGGTTATCTTTATGCTAAGTCAGCAATTATTTTACATTCACATTTTAGGGACATTTAAGTGTCTGATCCACCTAGCTGATGGCAGTTAGTTGAGATTAAAACTCTTCAGGATTTAAAATAACATTAGTAGCATTAGTAGCATTAAATGAACTAGTAGCATTAGTAGCATTAGTAGCATTAGTAGCAATAGTAGCATTAATAACATTAAATGAACTAGTTGCATTAGTAACATTAAATGAACTAGTAGCATTAGTAACATTAGTAGCATTAGTAACATTAAATGAACTAGTAGCATTTGTAACATTAAATTAACTAGTAGCATTAGTAACATTAGTAGCATTAGTAACATTAAAGGGACTTTACGGAGTTTTGAATTTTTATGCTCACGATTGCCCCATCAGGCCAAAAGCGTAACGGCAGCTTCAATAGTAGGCTCGTGCACGAGGCGTTCATGCTGTACGTGCTGTACTCCTTAACGAAAATAACAGCTGAGACAGTCCCATGTGTGTGTGTGTGTGTGTGTGTGTGTGTGTGTGTGTGTGTGTGTGTGTGTGTGTGTGTGTGTGTGTGTGTCTGTGTGTGTGTGTGTGTGTGTGTGTGTGTGTGTGTGTGGCCCGGAGGACAGAGGACAGGAGAATGTGCAGCCAATTAATTAAATAATTTGGTTCTGTACCTTTCTCTTCAGCACAGCCGACAAAGATTTAAAAATGCCAGGGCTCATTCTACAGGACCAGGGCATTGCAGGAGAATGTATGAAGAAGAAATTTATTATTTCTATACATGTCTTGGCTGTCAAACTTCCATAATGCCCCTTAAAATGAACTAGTAGCATTAGTAACAATAGTAGCATTAGTAACATTAAATGAACTAGTAGCATTAGCAATATTAGTAGCATTAGTAACATTAAATGAACTAGTAGCAGTGGTAGCATTGTGGAAATGTGTTGTCACACCCGACATGAAGCATGTGGCGGGGTGGGGGTGGGGGGGTCATATTTGTTTATAATGAAGAATTACCTATGACACTGTGTGCCTCCAGCGTGTTTTGCCTTGGTTCTTGTTTTTTAAACACCATTGCAGAGCAAGAGGTTATACTTTGGAATAGGGCTGAAAAACAATGTCATTTATTTAGAAATGTAAAATGCTTGTAAGCTGAATGGGACCTTGTTATTTTATTAACAGTTTTAGTCAACTACTCTTTCTTTGACCACTTGCAGCCACATAAAGTATACATTTTATTAATTGCCCTGTTTGCTGTTCTAAATTTTCAAATGTTTAATACAATTTTAAGCCAATGAAAGAAACAGAAAACTTTTGTTAAAATATGTAAGCTTTGTAGTGGTGGCTTTGCAGTTTTTGATAAGAAAAGTATTGCAGCAGCAACATTTTCTAACCCATGGACCAACACAACATAAGGGAATCTCAGTCTGAACGTCTTGTCTCAATGGCCTAACAAAACATTCTGAAATATTCATGTGCTGGCCAAAGCTTCTTTTATTCATTGCATCTTTTAAGCTCTAACATGGTCGACTGCCTGGTCCACTCCTTTAAACAGTTTATTTCTGGAAAATTACCCAAGCGTGGGAACATGCATTTCATGTCATTTTTTCCCCTTGATCGCTAGCTCATTTTTAACATTTAGTCTGCAGAACCTCATAATGACAAAGCTTGGGGTGGCTGAAGAAGATGGAGTGCCTGCTTCTGTGTGTCCTCAAGCTAAACAGTCTTTGTTTCAGCTAATCCTTGCTAAGTATAAACACCACAAACACTGTGATTTGCATATGTTGACTTACTCTTTAGACACTGATGCAAATACCTTTGACTGAAACTCATCTCTCCGCATTAACAGCAAAGCTCTTGGTGTTTGTGTGTTTAAGTGGCTGCCTGCGAGCACCACCCCCTTCCCATGAGTTGCCTGAGAGAGTATCCATGTGGGTGCAGAGTATTTCAGCATTTAAAGGATTTCATCTGTGTGGCAGCAGCCGGCATGTGAAGACGTACACAGTGGCCAAGTGTGATTGACGGCAGCTATTAATGGGATTAAGTCCAAGTGGGCCAGAGCTCCCTTTTTGGAAACTTCAAAGCCCAATGTTGGAGAGGAGATGAGGAAACACACAGACCGACCTGCTGGGGACTCTGTGTGTGTGTTATATGAGTAAAAAAGATGGTACATGTAAATGCATATTTCTGTGTGTAAACTGTGAAACAGAAGCAACTTTTACCAGAATGAAAAATAAAAAAATACATTTTAGATGCTGATTTTCTTTGGTTTATAATGTTCTTAACGTTTTTTAATGGTAACGTGTTTTTTTTTGCAATTGGTCCAATGGTGCTAATTCACAGTTTAGCTTGAAATAACACCTTTTGACTCCCAGCAGGTGAATAGAGAACAGAGGTGTACAGTCTTTGTTCATTGTTTTTCTAATTACAAAATAAATTTACATATTAAAAGCAAATGCTGAACTCAATAAACAAACAAAGCTCTGCCTCGTTCTAATTGTGGATAAAATGGGGCTCAGTACAAAACGTGCAATGACATTTTTCTGTGCAAAATCTGCTAATAAATGAAACGCTGGAGGTTATGACTCTTTGTTGGGCTCCTACATCAAACTAGAGCACATGAGGCTACGTGAGACTCCACAGAGAATTTTTGGGGTGAACATATTTACCATAATTTAAAATTGGACTGAATTTGGAATATGCATAATAATTTCATTCTTCCCAATGCAAACACACCCGGCAGCAAACAAGTGTTACCAACAATGCAGAAAATCAATTAAATTAAAAAAAAGAGTAGAATTGGTAAACATCACAAAAAAGGAGAATATCTAAATAAAGCAAACAGCCTCAGGGGCGTGTCCAGAGAGTGGCCTGGGGTGGCACATGCCACCCTTGGAATCTGATGGGCCACCCCAGGTGTCACCACACTAATTTACTTTCAAATAAGCTTTTCATTGTCCACAAAAGGCTTGGAGGTAAAACAAAAAAAGTATAACCATTGGTGCCACCCATGCACAAAGCTGTGTCTCACCTGGGCCACCCCATTTTAAAAGATCTGGACACGCCACTGAACAGCCTTTAAGGGAAAGCATTGAGAAAACGAAACCACCAATAAGACATTGTAGTTTTTTAACCATTGAGACGGTCTAGTGGGAAGTGCGGTGGTTCGATGAGACCAACAAACTATTGAATTCACTTTTTTGTGCTTTACAATATATTTATAGCTATACTATGCTAGAATGTTGTTAAGAGAATGAAAAAAAGGTTTTAAGCTAATGTGTTTTCCAAATTTTCCATCGAAGCTTTAATGTGTCCAGTTGACTTGAGTTAGTTTGAAAAATGATTGAGTCTGATCTCTCATGAGGGTCATTTAATAAATAATTTTCATGGCTTGAGTGGTGATGGTGGGGGGGTTTCAAGTATCCAAACTTCACAGTGTTTTTAGCCTGTAGTCACTAGAGTTCATTAAATAAAATTAACAATCGTCTACCTCATCTGAGTCAAGATAAGTAGAAAGTATGAACAGATCCAAACTGTCTAATGAAAAAGAGGGGGGTACATGTCACACCCCCAAATGACTTCCGTGTTTAAGTGTCTGATGTCCAGTCTTTTAGATGGTTGATGACATAAATTTAGAGAAAACCAGTGCTGCTAAATCATGACTTATGAATGCATAAATCTGCGTGCAAAGCCACCAAAGGAGTCTCACAAGCAAACCTTACGTTTGCTCTGGATAAGTTTGTGTTTCTAAATGCAAAACAAAAGTCAGACAAAACACAGATTAGACACAAAAACTACTCCCAAAAACTTTTCATGTCCACAATGTAACATGAAAAAGTTGTTGAGTGTGTTTACTGTGAAGCCTGTTGTTCCAGTTTTCGGTGGTGTGTCCAGATCTTTTAAAATGGGGTGGCCCAGGTGAGGCACAACTTTGTGCATGGGTGGCACCAATGGTTATGCTTATTTTTTTTATTTTTTATTTTTTTTTACTCCCAAGCCTTTTGTGGCCAATGAAAAGCCTATTTAAAGGTAAATTAGTGTGGTGGCACCTGGGGTGGCCAATCAGATTCCAAGGGTGGCATGTGCCACCCCAGGCCCCTCCCTGGACACGCCCCTGCAAGTTTTATACATTGAAAAGTATTTGATCTTTGGCACAGTTGCTTTTTTCTGAAGAAATTAAGCTGCTCTCCTGGAAAGAAATAAATCCAAGTTACTAAAGGCCGCTCTCTTACCGATGGCAACGGGAGCAAGAATGGTTGAGATGAAGAGCAGGCATCGGACCCACATGACGTCCGAGTTTGACCTGGAGGTGGAGGTGGAGGTACTTCCTGCTGAGCCCAGACGCTCGTGTGCCAAGGTGTTTCTCCCACAGCTCAATCTTCTCGACACCATACAGGCCTGCAGATTGACACACAGACAGGCTTTGCTCACTTGGTTGTCAGATCAAAACACACTACGATGCTTTCTCTACAAACCAAACAGAAAGATTTGGTCAGAAAAGAAACATTTCTGATGATCAATAAAAAGACAAATGATTGAGAATATAGGATATTGTTTATGACGAAAACCACAACATGGATGCTCAACAGCACACTGTGGGACTTCTGGAGTGTGTTTGTGTGTAAAAGTCATTAAAATGAGTTCCTTGATCAGTAAGTGCTTCCTGAATTACCTCTAATTACAGAAGTCGAGTCTTGGACGCACTTTTTTGAACCATTATCTCTTTGGTCAAAGAACCCTGAGACCATATGAGAACCTACAATTGTCTTTTATTTTTTGTAGTTTTCCACAAAAATGTACCAAAATATGGCTGAAACACTCAGTTATTATGGGTAATCACATGATGGCAAACATTTACCAACAGTTGAAATATCCAATTAGATATTTTTTCTGTTGTTCTAAGGGATTTCAAATTATTAACAGAGTTTTGATATTTGTAGCAAGAACAAGACCAGTTTTTTTTGCAGATGTAAGTTTTACAGGACATTTGCCAGATAATCCATACACAACAAATCTGCAAGGGAAATGTTAAATGCTGATGTTTGCATGACAATTTTTCTGTATCTAAGTCAGGATTCACTTCACTTGGTATTCCACATTGCCATCAAAGTGTGAAATATATTGATGTTCCAATGTAATTGTTCATTTCATGCTCCATCAGCAATAAACAATTATGAGATGATGGTCTCTGCGATATCTTGTAACACTGACAGACTGGAAGCCTCGTTTCCGCTTTGCTTTATTTTTCTGAACTGATTAAGCAGACCGGCCTTGTTCAATCACTGCTCACTCGCCCACTCACCCAGCCAACAAGTGACTCAATTACTTTCTATCTGCACCCTCAAAGTCACCATTTTTAATCACGACGAGTGGGATATTTACACATTTCCTCTGCAAAAAAAAATTGCACTGGTTTTGCTTTTTCTAAGTATGCAGACAGGATCTTGACCTCTGAGATCCTTTATATAATGAACCTGGTTATATTTTAACTAAACATTACTTTTCATAGACATAGTTCAAAGGTAACAGAAGCTCCATTTTGTGCCTAAATGCTGCCTGTGCCCAAGGGAACCGGGACCCAGCGCTGAATAAACAAGCCTGTCAAGTTTGTGTGTGTGACTTTGAGAGAGAGGGAGAAAGGAAGGCGGGAGAAATTTGCAAGAGCCAGATTGAACCAAGAAGACAGCCAGAGCCACGGGAAATAAATCATGTGAAACAGAGACTATTGATCAGCATGGCCATATCATATTAGCCCAGAAGAGACCAAGACAATAGCAAGCTATCTCAATCATGTCATGTTGTGAAGCCAAATAGCTACTTTGGTGCAGTCCCTCTTATAGATATTTAATGCTAGCTATTGATTTTTGAAAACACTTTTAGTCTTTTCAATAGCACCTATGTGTAAATCTTATCATGTAAACGTGCAACCATCATGGGAATGAAACTTTTACTTTACTGACTGAAATTGTTATACAACATACTTTTTCAATATTCTTTGAATTCTAAGAATTGAGTCCAAAAGTTTGAACTCATTGTAGATTTTCTCTCTCCATACAAGTCAAGTCAAAATGATTCATTCATGCTTAAATATATACTTGCATTCCATTAAATGTTTAAATAAGGGCGCTGACGTTTCTAAAGCATATTTTAACTTGACAAAACCAACATTTGGAATGATGTAATTTTATTATTATTTTTTTGGGTGATTTTGATTGACTGGAAAATAAAAGCCTTTGTTTGGACTGATAGATACTTAGGACAATGTGAAAGTCTAAGAAACTCAGGATTATTATAGAATTTTACATTTTATTAAAGTATTTTAAACTACTTTAAATGCCAACATCATCAGTTCAAACAAAGAAGTACAAGATATAGAGCTGTCACCGTTTTGCCTAGACATTAGAACCGAATTCTTCACCTCAGATAAAAGCAACCCAGTAAGCATCAAAACTCAACAGCTGGAACACCAACGACCACAGTGAAGGGTATTACACCACCATGGACCGAGTGCTGATCTCGAAATAAGATCCCAGAAACAAAGAAAAACATTTTAAAGCCCAACAAAAATATACCACTACCCATAAGCCAAATGCCTTCTGGAGACACATTTTATGGTCCAAGGACATGAAGATTGAGCTGTTTGGTCCACAATCACATCGTCTGTGTTTGGGAGAGTCAAACATAGTTACTGGGGGAGTCAGGGTGAGGACTCTTAAGTATGTGACGTGGTGGTACGGGGTTATTCCAAAAGAAAACTACCAACAAAGCTTTAAGCTTCACTTGAAATTGTCAGCCTGAAACGTGGGCACAAAGAAAAGCTCAGATATTGTGTCTTTTTAGACAAAATAAAAAAATCTTCTGAAGCTTCAAATATGGCCATCCCAAAGGTTAGAATTTAATTTGGTTAGAAATTTCAGAATGACAGGTGCTGGTCGTAAAATTTCAATATCTTACAAAGTGATTTATTTCAGTAATTCCATTCAAAAAGAGAAACTTCTATATTATACTCATTTGTTACACACATACTGGTATATTTCCATCTATCTTGTCATCCAATTCTGTCCACTTTTCTGGAGTCGGGTCACAGACTTCCCTTTTTCCAGCCACTTGGACCAGCTCCTCCAGGGAAATCCAGCAGTGTTCCCTGGTCAGCCAAGAGACAAAGCGTGTCCTGGGTCTTCCTTTAGGCCTCCTCCAGGTTGGACATGCCCATAAAACCTCACCAGGAAGGCGTCCAAGAGGCATTCTAACTAGATGCCCGAGCCACCTCAACTGGCTCCTCTCGATGTGGAAGAGCAGCTGGTCTACTCTGAGCCCCTCCCGAATGATCAAGCTTTTCACCCTATAGAAAACTCATTTCAGCTGCTTTTAACCGCAAGCTCATTCTTTTGGTCACTACCCAAAGCTCGTGACCATAGGTGAGAGTAGGAACATAGATCGACCGGTAAATTGAGAGCTTCGCCTTCCAGCTCAGCTCTCTCTTCACAATAACAGACTGGTACAACACTCACATCACTGCAGACGCAGCACCATCTTTCCCTCACTCATGAACAAGTTCCATGATACTTAAACTTCTCCACTTGAAGCAGGACCTCATCCCTGACCTGGAGGCATTCTACCCTTTTCCGATTCAAGACCACGAATCATCCCAGCTTCTTTACAACGCGAACTGCTCAAGCAAAAGCCAGAGATCACGGTCTGACGCAGCCACATCATCTGCAAAAAAGCTGATTCTCAGGCCACCAAAACAGATCCTCTCAACACCTTGGCTGCACCTAGCAGCTAGAAATCCTATCCATATAAGTTATGAACAGAAACGAGCCCAACTTACTGCCTGCAATGTGGCCAAAGCTCTGACACGGGTCATACAGGGACTTAACAGCCCATTTCAATGGGCCTGGTACCCCACACTGCCTGAGTACCCCTGAGGGCCCCCTGAGGTACGCGTTGAACAGGTTGAACGCCTTCTCCAAATTCACAAAGCACATGTAGATTGGTTGGGCAAACTATCACGCACCCTCCAGAAGCCCCCCAAGGGCCTCCCAAATTCAGTATCTCAGAAAATTGGAATTTCAAATGCCAAAAATGGAATTTTAGAAATGTTGGCAGAACTGAAAAGTATGAGAATGTACCAAACTTCAAGTTTAGTTGGGGCTCCTTTGGCCTGGATTACTGCAGGAATGTGGCGTGGCATGGAGTCGATAAATCTGTGGTACTGCTCAGGTGTTATGAAGCCCATGTTCTCTGATAGTGGCCTTCAGCTCTTCCGAACTGTTGGGTCTGGCATAGTGCCTCTACACAATATCCTATAGTGTTTCTATGGGGTTAAAATCAGGTGAGTTTGCTGGCCAGTCAAGAACAGGGATATCATGGTCCTTAAGCCAGGTACTGGTAGCTTTAGTATTGTGTGCAGGTACCAAGTCCTGTTTGAAATCTGCATCTCCATAAAGTTGGTCAGCAGCAGGAAGCATGAAGTGCCCTAAAACTTCCTGATAGATGTCTATATTGACCTTGGTCCTCAGAAAACACAATGGGCCCACACAAGCAAGTGACATGGCACCCCAAACCATCACTGACGGTGGAAACTTTGCACTGGACCTTAATCAATGCGGATTCTTTGCCTCTCCACTCTTCCTCCAGACTCTGGGACCTTGATTTCCAAAGGAAACGCAAAATGGACCACTCAGCGGCAGACCAGTCCTTTTTGTCTAGCCCAGGCGAGACGCCTTTGACGTTGTCTCTTGTTCAAGAGTGGCTTGACACAAGGAAAGCGACAGCTGAAACCATGTCTTGTACTTGGTGGTTCTCGAAGCACTGACTCCAGCCGCAGTCCACTCTTTGTGAACCCCCCACCCCCATATTTTTCAATGGGTTTTGTTCCACAATCCCCTCCAGCGTGCTGTCATCTCTATTGCTTGTGCACTTTTTTCTACCACATCTTGTCCTTCCCTTCAAATCTCAATTGATGAGCTTTAACACAAGAGCTATGTGAACAGCCAGCCTCTTTATCAATGACCTGTTGTGTCTTGTCCTCCTTGTGCAAAGCGTCAATGGTCATCTTTTGGACAGGCTTTTGCAGGTGTTTTGAGGTAACTAGTTGATTAGAGTGTAGCACCAGGGGTCTTCAATATTGATTACATTCACAATATTCCAATATTCTGAAATATTGAATTTGAGATTTTTATTGTCAGTCCTAATAATCAAATTTAAAAGGAATAAACATTTGAAATATATTGGAAAAAAAACATAACAAGAGAAAATCCACACAATGTTACTAGTTGTGCACCAAAATCAGTTTTAAAAATCATTAAAGGTTTATGTTGCAAGTTTTTTTTTCCACCCTAGTAAAAGAACTGTTTAACTCAACCAAAAAAAAAAAATAACAATATTTTGGTATG